CATAAATACCAGAGGTTGAGTGAGACCTTGATATAATTTGAGTTTGATTAATGAAGAGGCAGTGAGGTGAAATGAACAGGAAATCAAGGAGGACAAAGCCGAATCCTGTTCTTTGATCTTCTAGTCTCTTCCAGTGAGACTTTGTGCAGTCAAAGCAGCAGCGAGCGCAGTGACTCACACCTGTTTCTATAGCTATAAAACACAAAGGAAATGGAGTTAGGTTACTGGCTTGTCACAATCACCGACTGAAGGAGGATCTGATGGTGAAGTATATATACTCTGGCCCCTTAGATACACGTTACAGATACAGTTCAGTCAGTGTTCTGTAAACTGTGATGGCGTGACCTTCTTTTATCCTCTCATGACCAGTTTGAGCTGCTGCACCATTAATGCACATACTGCCAATCCATGGTCACAGACAGTATTGCAGCTGCAATGACAAGGGTCATTTTGTGTGCTTTTTTATGAAGACTAGATGCAGAGATAAGAAACAAACAGGAGAGGAAAATAGCTCCCAAAAAAGGAGCACAGCCCGCAATGAGCCAAGGGCCATGAATCCGATTAATAGTGTGATGTGAGAGCTAATGCTACTGCTGTTCAGAGCCGGGGTATGGATCATTGAGATAAGAGCCGCAGCTAAATGCGGAGGGACAGCCAATTGTAAATGGTATGTTATCTAATCAGCCAATGAGGCGGAGTGTCTTTTATGAGCGACAGTGCTACAGATCTGTCTGCACCGCCACAACCTCTCCATGGAGTTTGTTTTAGGAACGTCAGATCAGTTTTCTCCATTAGGCCATAATCAGGGCCAATAAACATTTTGGCACTAACAAAAAGACAAGAGGCCAAACTAAGGGTTACAGAAGAAAGGATTTCCACTTGGACGTGTGCAGAGGAGGGATAGTGGATAATTTTGAAGATGGAGCAGCCAAGCAGGCGGAAAAGAGGAAGACTATGGAGACGATTCATGGAAGTAGTGAAGAAGGAAATGCAGAGGGTTGGTGTGAAAGAAGAGGATGTAAGGGATAGGGTGAGATGGAGGCAGATGGTCAGCTGTGGTGCAGGGTGTAGCCAAAAGAAGAAGACGAAGAAGAAGCTGCTGGGAAGTGCTCTGATATTTGAATGTAATCCTGCTGAAAACTGAGAGAAAAATAAGCTGTAGATAGAAAAAGATTTGCCTTTCAAGGCAAAGAATTACTCTCAACTATTTAAAAAAATCCATATGAGGAACATTTTTCTTACAGATTTATAGCGGTTATTACATTTTCTAGTTCTCCAAATGCATTAAAACTTAAAATATTTTAGTAATGCTACCAAAAATCCTTACATTTCAGCTTCTTGTTTAATATTCCGCACAATCCTATGTGACAAGCAGCATTTAGATCCCTTTATTCTTGATTATCATTTGTGCGCATATTTGTTTTTAAAAAAATGATGGACGACTTCATCTCCCACAGCAGGGCTGCATGTCAGCGCAGAGGAGAATCAGTGAGAGACCCCTGAAGCTCGAGACAACATTCCCCAGTGAAGCTAACTAAAGAGAGACAGAGAGGCAGCGGACATGACAGCTTTTCAACAGCCAGAGCAAACTGACAGTAATATCCACGTGTTCTCACAGCAGACAGGAGACTGACAGCTGCAACTTTCATTTGAAACAGATGCACGGAAGTCGCATCTCACTCAAAGCCCAAGCAGGGCAACAAATATCCCTCCTGCACAGGCAATTTTTACCCCTGAATTGACCTCAAATGAAACCAAATCTACACTGAAGTGAAGCTGACAGGCATGTTCTGTACCCTGAGCACCGAACATTTGTAGCCACTGGCTTTCTTTTCTGAGCCTTATAACTCAAAAAGGAAATCTCCTCTGCATCCAGCCCTCTTTGCGTCTCCAGACAAGCACTTTATCTTCCTGTCTACAGCACAGCAGACTAAACACACTCTCTAATAGAAGGCGGGTTTTTTTCTTTTGGTCCAAAGCAAGCCTGTCTGTAGGCGACTAGGCTTAAATATACTGTTCCAATAACATACTGCATCCATATATTTTATCAGCAATGACACAGAGACATAATAGGACATAAATACACAGGCACACAGACTACTATTAATGGGTAGCCTGTCTCCTTTAAAGTGGTTTCTGGCACAGCGGAGTTAGCCTATAGGAGCTTAAAGCTTTGAAAAGGCGACCCTGAGTTACTCTTCAGCTAGGTCAAGGAGGTAAAAGCCAAATATCACACTTTCCCTCAAACTTTGTCCCCTTGTAATATCAGACACTAACAGAAGAATATGTGAATTTGAGTATGGTGTAAAGATGCAGCTTTTGTGACTAACACATCGTTGTTTTGGATCACCTGGGTGGTCAAACGTAGGTGGAAAATTAATTTAAAAAAACATGTTTCTCATCCAGCCATATCAGGATTACCGCAGGTTTTACTGGAAAGCTCGAACTGCTTGGATGCAGTGATGTAAAATAGAAACAATAAAAGTCATGAGATTTAAGGGACCGGTTGAGCTAACTGCGGTCGAGAGAAGACATCAGCCTTGTGATGCTGGCTCTGTGCAGACATGTGATAATAATTGAAAGACACAGCGAGTGCTGTCTGGCGTGCTTTAGAGTAAGATTCGGTGCATTTGTGCACTCGGGGTAAGAGTGAGAATAAGAAAAACATCATCTATATACCTCAGTGGGCACTTTTCACAGATATTCTTTTCATTATTTTGTACTCTGAACTTTAAAGTCACCAAAGTGCAGCGATTGAAGATCAATACTGCCTCCTCCTGGATGTCAGGTGAACTACTGCACATGCCAGAGCAAAAACTTTTATCTAGTGGTTTAAAATTTAGCAAAGACTGACCTGGAGTAAAATCTCATAAATATGATTGTGCAACAGATAGCTCAATTTAGGGGCAGGCAGTGGAAGTTTCAGCATGATTTAATTATGCTATTGGTATCACAAGGTTTCCTGTTGATTTGGTTAATATTATCAAACACAGACAAGCTCAACAGGCCTTAATTTTATCATAGAAGCCCACATTTTATCACAATACTGAGACTTCACTCGAGACCGCGTGTATGTTTTGTCTCTGTGGACAACTTGACTAATTTATAAAAATAAAAGCAGCAAAATTTAGAGCTGCTTGAACACTCAAGGAAATTATTGTAATCAGCACCTTCTTAGATTTTTTTTTTTTCTCGCTAAAATGCTTCTAAGATAAGCTTCAGCAAAGCTTCAGAGTGGGCTAACTTGATAGCTCCTGAAATTTGCTAAGGCAGTAAACATGGCCTCAATAACTTGCAGACATTCACTTCCACTGAGTCACCGCTGAGCCTTTCACTCCCAGTGTAATAAACTGTATTTTCTATCCAAGGCAAAATTGTTTTTTTCTACCTGTGTGTGCTATGTTAGCTGTTTTTGAAATACCTACCAGGCTGTTTGTTTACAGACACTAAGCCTGACCAACATCACCTTTCAAATCCTCCTGCAACCACACACGTGGTATTCGAGCTGGCTCTGCCTTTGGATGCTGATTTAAGTGAGTCACTTTCTCAGGTTTGTATGAACTCTGGTGAGACTGTTTATTGGCCGGCGGTCGCTTTTCGCACCCTTTTGCCAAAATGAACACGGATGTGCTAGAGCAGTTTCTCGCTTTGTGCCAGTAAAGATGGACTCTTGCCACCAGATCCATGGAGGTACATTGGTTTCCATAGTTACATCGTACTGGTTTAAAAACAACCTTTTAAGAAAGCCGTCCAAGCAGAAAAGCATTCGTTCTTCATGTGTGTTTAAGCTATTTCCAGCACCAGCGTTGCTGAGCAAATTCCCTGCCCTTATTTTTCTTAATGCACTGCAACAACATGTGGAACCACAGACCTCCTATAGGAGCAAGCTGTACCACCTGACAGCCACCTTGAAATGCCCCCACGCACATATGTGGATAGTGATTTTGATGCATTGTTTAAATAAACTGGGGCATAATAATTGCATGTAAACAAGCACCAGTCAAATCTGCGGAAAAAAAAAATGCTTAAAAGGTCTGCACCTATTTTCAAAAATTAAAGTTTTTAAAAACATCTACCACCAAGTTTCTATTTGTGTCTCTCTCATAATGTTTCTTGTGGAAGGACTGATTTCCAAAGGGCCATGTACTTTTGATTTGCTTGACCTTTCAAAGGTAGAGGTTAAAGTCTGCTATCAAGCTGGAACAGAAAGCAATTCAATCTCTTGCTCAAGGTGACACTTCAGGCCAAACTGAACATTGTCTGAATGTTATTCAGACAATATCGAACTGTTATTGAAGCTCCAAAGTTACTCCATTGTTTCTCTATTGGGGGAAAATGGATGTACCTGCAAATCATGTACCGGTATACAAACAACAAAGTAAGCAAATGATTCACTAAGACTAAGACTACAGAATGAACTGGGTGAGTGCAGGGTTTGTACTAGTGCACAAACCCTGCTCAATTTAGTTGCCAGCTATGTTTCCAGTGCTGTAGTTAGTGAGAAAAACGTACTGTCCAATCACTACGATCGATAGATAGATAGATAGATAGATAGATAGATAGATAGATAGATAGATAGATACTTGGGGAAATTAATTGCCCACCCTTGTGTTATAAAAATATTGAAGTGATTAATAGAAGGAATTAATAATACAATAAATTCAGAGTAAAGTCATATTATAAGACTGCACAGGCTACTAGGTGATATCAATATGTATAACATAACGTAACAAAATAAGACGAAACAAGTACAATAACTAAAGTTACACTTCTTATTCCATAGACATAAGCAGTACGTATCACAGTTTTTGTGTTTGCGTGTTCCAGCTTTCACATTCTAATAAGTTTAATTAAGTGCTGTCAGTAATATTAAAGAAGAGTTTCCAAACGTATGTACCGGATCTCGTCACCATTTCTTGTACTATATGTATCGCTTTTGCTCTGCTGTCGCTCTTCCTTCTGCTCGCTCACGATCTTTGCAGCCGTGGCTCCTCCTCTTATGCAAAACAGCCCGAGTATCCGGAAATTAACAATCCCGTGATGTTAGGGGAGCGCTAGCATAGCAGTGGAATGAGTAGAGCGCCTTTCTCGATTAAAACTTACCCAGAGGTCAGTTTTAGCGAACTGTTTGCTTTCATTGTCGTCGACAGACATGGCGTTACCGGGGACGACGGCTGTCGAAGGACGCCTGTCCACGCACGGACCTTGAGGATGAAGATTAACGGGATGCCATTCAGTTAGCTACTCTGGACCCCGATTATGTGCCACAGAAGCTAGCAGGCTAGTTAATACGCTGTGGCAAAGTATTTACGGGCTGCTGCTCGGTGTGGAAACGGAGAAATATGGCGGGGTTGGTGTTGAAGCAGCTGTCAGATTTCGGGGACTTTTCTCACGGTAAAGAGCTGACAGAGATACTCAGTCTGAATAACAACGAGCAGATAAACAGTGTTCGCATGAGCCCAGATGGACGTCACATCCATGTCGTCCTCCGCAAGCCTAAGGTCAGTCTTGTGACTTTTGACAAGTATGAAAGACCCCAGCTGGCTCCTAACCAGAAGAAACTGGATTTGTGCGTAAACGTGCCCATCGTGGATATTTTCTATCTGGAGCATCACGGCGGCAGCAGCAGCAGCGGTGCAGCAGTCGTGGCAGTGGTTTATGAAAGTGGGAAAGTTGAGTTTTGGAAGTTCCAGGAGTGCAAGTCTGGCTGGCATCTCCTGCAGACATCACAGTTGTGCAACAGTCCCCGGGCTAAAGTGGTATCTGTCTGTGCTTGCTCTAATCTTATCATCTGGTGCGAGGAGCGGCCGCCGTCAGAAAGCTCCCCTGTCCTCAGCGCCACAAGGAATATGTTGAGATACTGTGTTTGCAGACGTGACTTTGAGGTGAACGAGACGGCTGTCAGCTTGGGAGGGGTGAAAATCGCCCTCCACAATAATCCTGACTTTACTGTGGTCAGCTCAGGGGAATATGTGCACCTTCTTCCTGACTTGAAGTCGAAGCCGCTGTTGAACATCTCCAAATTCTTCCTCTCCTGGTCCCCTCGCTATGACTCCTTTACAGTCAGCACCACATGTAAAAACACCCCCCTTAAAAAGCTTTCAGCTAAAGAGTCCGACTTTATGAAGCTGGTAATCAATTGCTTAGGATATTTGTCTCCTCTTGAGCCACCTGAGATCTGCAGCTTCTCACCCACAGCCTGTGGAGGCCTCCTCCTGCTGCTCAGCACAGGCTGGCTCTGTCTCCTGCAGAAAGACGGGGTCCTGCGGCAAGTATACAAACTAGAAGACAACTGTTTGGTAAATTACAGCACTCACACTAGCCTTGGTATGTATGAGGACACCCTGGCACTAATTATGGGGCAAAACCTGCATCTGATAGACTTGAACTGTGGCAGAGAGCTGGAAAAGATTGTGCTGATGGGTGAAGCATTATTATATACAAACAGGGCAGATATGTGTACACCTCACCTACTCTCAGAAACTGGACTTTTTGTAGTGGTGAGCAGGGGGACGGACTCCAGAGACTGCAACTTCAGAATAAAGTCTCCTGGTTTCAGTACAGTGGAGAGTATTCATCCTGGAGCCCTCCTGGTAGAAGCTGTCTTTGAAGAGGCCTGTAAATACTACCAGCAGAGGAGCCTGAGCAGCACCCCGCTCACCGTGGACTCGCTGAAGAAAGGGGGGAGATTCCAGGCTCCCATCTCTTTAGCCTCCATCCTCTTCAGCTACCTCAGCGCAGGCTTCAAGCAAAAGGGAGCACAGCTGTCCCAGAATGGAGGAGGTGGATGTATCACAGGGCAAGACAAGCTAATGGGTTCTCTTGAGGCCGAGCTCAAGGCTCTGGTTTCGCTGGAGGAAGTGAAGGGGACTTTAGTGAGGGGTAGTGTTAAAGAGGTGGAGGCAATGTGTGAGAGTCTAGTTGAGAAAGAAGTATTGAGGCTTCTGTCGTCTCCTGAGCTGGATAAAGAGGCTCTGCTGTACCTCAACTCCATCTTCAGCATCTTTCCCTCCGAGGGTTGGAAGGCGGCGCAGTCTGCTCTGCAGCTACACTACAACGGTGAAGGATTTCTGTCCAGCAGAGCTCCCCCTGATGTATGGAAAACTGTTCTCAGTGCTGGTCTGTCATCCAGCCCTGTAGCCTCCCTGTCATTAACCAATGGGGGACCAAAACACAATCGCAGCCTTAAGGTCGATTACTTTACAAACTGTAAAGGAAAATCTACAACCACCACTTCCTCAGCTGCCTTGCCTGTGTTTGAGCTCCTCTGCAGGTCAGTTTTTCATTTCCAGCCCAGCTGGCTGCCCAGATTCCTCGAGCTCGCCCAGAAGGAGCAGGGCTCAACGGGGTTGGGTCTGGGCCTGGCGGCTTCCTCTTGGAGTTTTTCTAGTGGGAGAGGAGGGGACTGCAATGAAAGCAACGTGCCACTATATAAACGAGCACTGTACCTTCTGTCCAGCTTAAACCCAGACAGAGACCAGCAGCAGGACCTAGAGGTGGAGCTGCTGCTGGTGAGTGGGAGACCCAACGCAATCCTACAGGCTCTGCGGATCCTCATGAGCAAGAAGCAGTGGTATCGGGTCACCCAGGTGGCCCAGAAGTGCTGTAAACAGAGTCCGCTGCTCAACAAGGAGATTTTCACTATTTTGTTGTGCGAGGTGGCCCATCACAGAGACCTGGATCCCTACCTGGACTTGCTGTGGACACTTTGCCCTGAGGATTTCACCGTCACCACCATCCTGAACATGGTCCTGAAAAACCTCCCCTCTCCCAACACTCCCTCCCACTCCTCGTCTTTCCTGGCGTCCAGTTCAACCTCTTCTACTCCTCCTTTCACAGACCCCCACAGTACTCAGGTGACTGTTGGGCTATTGAAACCACTGCTGAGAAAAGTGTTGCAGAGGGAGACCAAGCCTAGCCAGCGCTACGTGGACATCCTCCAGTCACCGTCATTCCCCCCTCCTGCACTGCCTCGCCAGCCCACTGAGCAGAGCAGCAGTGTCACAGACCCCATTGCAGACTCTGATCTGTGCAACAACATCACCCCAGCTCTTCTTGCAGAAACCCCTGAACAGCAGACCTGCACACAAACAGCTATTCAAAGGCAGAGGGTGGCTCTACCTGCTAACACAGTTTGAAGAAGAATGAATGAATAACAAAACTGTCTTTATACTCCCTTCAACACATAATCTGACCGAAGTGTAAATCAGTGTGATGACAATCATATTATAAAACAGAATAATATGTAATAATATATAATAAGATCGTATTTCTTGTTTTGTTTTGTTTTTAAACTGTTGAAATGTGACTACTAGAAAATATTAAATGACTACTGAAGATCCTACCAGTGTAATAACTGCAGGTAAATTTAAGTGTTTAAATGGGGATGCACAGATCTGATGGATCGGGCATCTGTGGCAAAGATTTCAGATCAGTGTATATCTCAGTTTATTTCTGTGCGCATGAACATTTTGCTCTAAGGAGCTTATTGCGGTCAATACGGTTAACGTCTTCTTCACTTGGCCTGTCTGTCTCCTTCGCCACACAAGAGCAGAGGAGAGAAAATGCAGTGGAGACTTTGACGTGAAGCTGAAATGAAACAGCTGCACATAAATTAGTTGTATACAATATTAAAATACTTCTTTTTTTTTTTTCTTTTTTTTTAAAGATATTTATGTTTATTCAGCTTAGTTTCCTAGATGGCAGGAGTCCCTGTTTTTATGTCTCATTTCAGTAACTGAGTTGTTTATTTGCTTCATGTTACTTTACATATAAGTAAATGAATCCTCTGCGTGACAAGTGCAGCTTAATAATTTATTGTCGATACTCTGTATCTGCAGATATCTCAAAGAAAAGTCGGATCGGTGCATCCCTACTCTTTATGTGTATAAACTGTATCTACAGTGTTATTTATCTTTTCAGCCTTAACTGCACGTCGATGAGAATGTTCTTGCATTGCGTAACTTTAACCTGTATAGGAATCCTATCAAAGGGTAGCAGTATTAACACAATATAGTATGTAAGTGCTCAGTGAAACAGAGCCGGTTATTCCTGAACCAAAATGGCATCTGCCTCTGCCTTTATGCTCCACCCCCCTCTCAGCTTCAAACTGATTAAGTCCTGAATGCGGATGTTCTTGTATTATATCAGAACAGCAAAAACAAAAGCCACTAACTCCTGTTGCTGGGTTTTATACAAAGGTGTGTTCCCTTTTTTAAAAATAGATGTTGGCTAATTATAGCCGAGTATAGCTTCCTTTTACTTGCTCAAGTGCATTTATGCAGTGAGTAATCTAATAGTCTGAATTCAGACAAGCTGACCTTTGTGGGTTGTTTTAAGCTAGGTAAGGTTTGGCAGAGCAGGGAAGAAGGAATGAGATCAGGGTTTCTTTTACTGGCTTTTGGTTTCACATTTATGCTGATGGCTTCTGTTTGGTTTTAAGTGACTCAAATAGTGTAATATCTGCAAACCAAAACAATCTACGTGACTTTCTTTTGCTTCCATTTTTCCATTCCTGTCATCTTTTTTGGGGGGGGGGGTCACTCTAGGCTCCATCTTGTCTCCTCTGCTCCCTCTCAGCCGACTCCTTGGACATACCAAACAGAGTACCCAGTAAAAGCAACTCACAGTTCAACTTTAAATTCAATTTTAGCAGTAATTCTGTTAAAATTCAAGTGCTTGTGGGACAGATTGTGACTCACACAGGCACCCTGCTGCTTGCATAAGGTCATGCATGTCCTCCTTTATGAACCCGGTGAGGGTAATGTTATTAGAGATGATAGCCCCTCGGTCTTATCGCCACTGCTGGTTATGCTCTGTCACCAGCTGCACTTTTATATGACAACAGTCAGTATTGGTTGTGCCTCTGCTTTGGGGGGTTTTCTGATTAAGTGCCAAAAACAAGTGTGTATTTGTGTTCCTGTTGTGCTTAGTGCCTTCTGTTGGAGCAGCCTGTTAAGCTTGTTATAGTCAAAGTTAAGTCTCTGTCCATAATATTTCACTCTTCTGCCTATTTATTATGTACCAATCTTTGGAAGACTACTAAAATGATAAACCAAGGTCCTGTTTGGGTGAGGTTTTGAGAAAGTCAGACAGGTCTTAGGTATTCAGTGACAATCAGACTCTAAATGCTGCAGAAAAACCTGCGTGCCTTTTACGGTGCTTCTTCGAATTTACAGGGTAGTGTCATAGCTCAGCTGTCTTTTCACTCTTAGTCATATTTTGAAGACGTACGCATTTCTAAACTTTAATCAGCTCTTGGTATGAAAGGGCTACTGCCCCTAACCCCTAACAGCTTTCTGATATCTTTCTCAAGTCCATTTAATCAAGCGGCAGTCATTCCAGGCCCTGCACACCTAACAGACGTGTTAAAGCGTGCACAGCTCATCTAACAGATATGTTTCGACTCGTCTCAGATTCATTGGGAACTCCCTGACTTCCCCACAGAGGCCACTGAGCCTAACCGTCACGACTGTTTCTGATGTTAATATTCACTCGCCTTAACCTTTGCTTCAAGTTGCTGTTGGCTCCTCCTGCACCGGCCTAACAAAATTTCACATCCACGTGACAACTTTGTACTTTCGGTGATGCTAATTTTTAGGCAGTATTTGTTGAAGAACGCGTAAGTATTTATGAAAAGATGCTGTATGCTATTAAACTGAAGATAAAACACGACTTTGCCGTCCAGAGTTTTATGTGTAATTTCCTGCTCATTTGCATTTTAATAATACGGTTTCTTTTAACAGCCTCGCGAGACGTGCTGCTTGTAACATGCAGTGTTGTTGACGTTGGAGTTTTGATTGCACTTTGGTATCTTGTAAAAGTTTTGATTTGTTGTTTTGTTTTAGATTAAGCCATACTGCTACAGAGCTCCGTGATGAATAGGGAAGTGATAGACAGCAGGCGGTTAACAATTTGTGTGTCTGTCAGGTCATTTTATTGCACTTTCCAAAACATGTCATTGGTATCTGCCTGCCAAGTCCTCCTTCCCACAGATTAATGTAGTTCTGGTTTGTCTAGATCTGTTGGCATATTCCTTTTACCCTTGTGCAGAGAGAACTCAACATGCCAGATGGTCTTGTGATCTTGTGAGACGCTGCTTTGCAAGTTAGCTACACAACAGACAATTGAAATGTCAAGACCAGTATGTCCTTACATGTTTTTACCTGTATTTACAGTTTAACCCAGCCTGAAAAACAGACGCTGTACACACAGTTATTTGATTCATATCATCCACTCCCCCATTAGAGTTTCACCGTATCCCTTTTCGTCCATGGCAAATCCACTTACAGCTGCACTTGTGTGTGTGTGTGTGTGTGTGTGTGTGTGTGGTACAGAGGAAGTATTTAGGTGTGTAAATATGCTGAAATGTTTCCACATTCAAGGCCTGCACGAGGAATGTTTGTTCCGTTTAAGCATTCTGAACAGAGACAAAACATTTACAGTGCTTGCAAAAAGTAAAGCGAGGACGCACAGTGCATGTGTGTCCCTCACAGCAAATAGGTGGTTTCCGCATGAGGATGTGAAGGTAAAAAAAAAAAAAGTGCTAAAGACGCAGAGGGTAGTAGGAGTCAAAACAGTGGAGAGGGAGGTGCAGGAGCCTGCATAACATGATACCTACCATCCCTCGGCCAATTATTTCCCTCCTCCTGTATTTCTCCTTCACTTTATGTCACTTTTTTTCATCTAATTGATTTTTGCTGACTCCACCGTCTCTTATTACAAGGTGCCAGTGCTGTAATGCCATCGATTCACTTGTTCTAATTATAGATGGCATCCTGTAAACTGTAATTCGTCTAAACAGATGCTGGCAGGCTCTCCCTGCTGTTCTGTCCTTTGCTTGTCTTTGAGCAGCTGACTGCATCCTGCAGAGCAACTAAAGTGAATGCATCAGTAGAGGGATGGCCACATTAGAGCACTTTTTAAAACATTTCACGATCAGAAGTATGCAGGGGGTAAAATGTTTTTGATCATTTTCAAACCTTTTAGCAGGTGATAAAGGTAGCTATCCGCTTTGACATTACGCAGAAACCTAGAAACTGGAGTGAGTGTAAATGCTGAGCTCTTGGTTTTTGATCATAAGCTGTACACTGATCTCATTATTTGAAAGTTTGAGCAGTGAATCTTAGCGTCCATCATTCTGCACAGGGATGCCACTTTTCATAAACCAATTTAGAGATATTGGTCCATTTGTTCATATCAAGTAGGTGAAATTATAGCAACGCTCTATTTGCAGGACTCAGATCATCAGTAGGACGTCTTCAGCTTATTCAAAATGCAGCAGCCAGAATCCTTACAGGTACATGGAAACCTGACCACGTTACCTCAGTATTGAAGGCATTTCAGTGGCTCTCAGTGCAATATAGAATCACCTTTAAGACCTATCGGGTCATCAGGTTCAGATCTTGTAACTGTTCTCGCCTCGCATCTCAGTCTGCTGAGCCTGCTTTCAGTTACTGTGGAGCTGTCTGTCTGCTGATCTGAGATCAATTACATCTGTGCATACGTTCAAAACCAGACTTAAAACCTTTTGGTTCTCACAGGTCTACAGATCATGGGTGTTGTTTTGTTTTCACTGCCTTTAGGTATTGTAAACCTACATTTTTTTATGTCCTAAGTTTTCATGTAATGAAATGTCTGTGTTAGCCCTTTGAGAAACTGCTGACCTGTCTAGGGTGTGGTAGCTGGGATACCACACCACCTGCGACCATGAATTTGATAAGCAGAAGAGGATGCATGGTGTTGAGTATAAGACTTGCAAATTCAAAACCCATCCCTTTACCATTTCAAATTAGGCTTCCGTGTAAGGCCTCAACAGCACCTGCAAGCTAACACGTTTGTGGATGAAACCCTGGGTAGAAGGAGACAGAAGGGTGTGTATCTGCCATTAACCAATTCCTGGTTATCAGAGAACATGATTTGCATCATCATTTTCATATTTGAATTCATGTATAGCAGACATAAGGCGCCAAGACGGGAATGCGTCAGAAAATATCTATACAAAAAGAGGTATGCAGCTGCACAAGCGTTGTTTCTTTTAATTCAAGCTTAAAAGTTTGAAATTGATTTATCAGTGCTGTGAAAAAAGTATTTTCCCTCTTTGCTTTTTTGTTTGTTTGTTGTTGTTTTTTTGGGGGGGGGGGCATAATCATGAATTTTTAGCATTAAACGTTTTACATAATTAAGGGAAATGGTTATCCAAACCTAACTCTCCCTGTGTGAAAAAGTCATTGTCCCCTAAACGTAACATCTGGGCACGAATAACTACAATCGAGCATTTCCAGTATCTGCAGATGAGTCCTTACTTCTCATGGAACAGAACAGCCTTCCAAAATTCACCTTTTCTCATCAGTCCACAGGATATTTTGTTACAGACGTCTTGAGGATAATCAGGATGTTTTCTGCAAATGTAAGATGTACCTTCATGTTAAACTGAGGCCTCCAGTTGTTTAGATGCTGACTGACAGTAGTTCTTCCAATATTGGGTTGCACCCTTCGACCAGCCTCCTCCATGGTGAGGCCGTGATTGACAACATGGTCCACAATTGTAGCCCTTATTTCATTAGGAATCCGCCTATATCTGCCTCTTCTCCCTCTTCCCCTTCCCCCCC